TCGATTTCTAAATAATCGGCTGTCTGAAACAGTGTTTCAGACTTCTGATTATTTAGAAATCGAGGCAGTTTAATAGTCTTTAGTCGATTCAAACCTGCATTCTGCACAACCTCGTCCCAGGGCCCTGGGGAAGAGACCAATTACTTTTCAGACTTTAAAATAATCGGTCACGAGCCTGCTCCTGAATCAGTCCTTTCATAGAATTTATGAGGATAATCCTGGATTAGCATTTATTATATACATACTGAGAAATACTCACCAAAAAGCTATGTCGTAAATTGTCGTACGCAAATTAGTTCTAGCCAATCAGATGAGCGAACGATGGTTTTCACACGTGAAAAAAATGATACGTCCAATCAGAATCGCGAACGATGTTTTTTCACGTGTGAGAAAAATGATACGTCCAATCAGAAGCCACAGAGGTGTGTGAGTTTCGCGCCAAAATTCCCGCCTTTAATTGCAGCTTGCAGCGCCGCTTCGCACACATTCAACGAGAAAAGTTTTACTCAAAGAGTTTTTCTCGCTAAAAAAGTGAAAACATTTCGGAAATGGAGTGGAATAGTTTCGTTTCTTTCACTGTCGATGAAAAAAAAACGGTAGAGAGCCGGCGAAACAACAACGGAAAGGAAAAACAGAACGAGACGTAAGCTTTTGTTGTGCTTTTTGTCGGAGCGACTTTGCCTTTCATTTTAGCTTAAGCTTATAATATTCAAACCGGCCATTTTCCTTAAATTCACTCATTTTCAATTGTGCATTGAGAACAAACAGTTAAGATAACTTATAGTTCTTGGATTACCTCGTATCCTTACCGTCCTTTATGTTTTTAACAAACGTTTTTACTAAAAAGCTGGTACTTCGTTTTCGTTGTCATTTTGCGGTAAGTGTGTAGCGGCAAATTTTAGCATTTTTGAAAGATTTAAAATAAAAAGGCCGCCAAAATGATGAATGTCTCAGTATGTATATAATAAACACAATACCACATGGAAAGTGCTTTGTACGGTATTTACGCACTCGTTGTTTTTGTATCAGAAATCTTACTCGTTCGCTGCGCTCACTCGTTCGATTTCTGATACGTCAACAACTCGTGCGTAAATACCGTACGCCAGCACTTTCCATGAAGTATTCTCTATGACTGCAATTTTCGCCAGAGTCCTTCGAGCATTGAATAATCAATGAAACGAGTAGTGTAAAACTGTTTCAAAAGAGTTCTCATTTCGTTTTTAAACGAAGCCGAAAGAGAACCGAAACTGGAACTGATAATATAGATGCCGAAGAGACTTTTTCCAAATGGAAGAAACGGTATATTTTTCTTTCAACTTCGTTTCTTCAACTGTGCTTTTAAAAAGACCTTTCAAATCACATTCCATGGGGGTATTACCCTTTTTCACTCCTTCCTCCTTGCTTGCTTCTTAATCATTATTTCGAGTGAGACAGAGCATTTTGAAATCGAAAGTATTCTAGTCAATGAGACCCTAAGCCTTACCGATAGAGTCTCCTCACGTAAAAGAATCCGGAAAGTTTTTGTTCATGGAATGCAAAATACCGGGGAAAATTTTTGCTTGTGGAATCCAGAATACAGCTCAGGGAATTCAGAATCCTGTTAAAGATTGAAATCCAGAATCCATGTTCTACTGAAAAGGACTGGAATCAGGAATCCACGACGTGTAATCTAGAATCCAAGACTGTCTTGGATTCGCTTACATGGGACGAAATGGAGGCCTTAGTATCGCGAACAATCGTCAAGTTGTTAGTGGAACAAAGCCGATTCTCGACTAGGCTAATCTATATTGATCATCGACAGTTGGTGTCGAGGACTTGAATCACTAACGGCAAGATGCATGGTGTTACGGTTACTCTGACCCAGAGGGACTTAAGGGTGACAAGAGCACTTTTCCTATAAGAGTTCCATAGTATGGAACGACCGTGTCGATGCGGGCAATAGAGTTTTTTAAACGCTCTACCCGTTTGTTTCACTTTTCGATAAATTTCCTAGCCGTCAATGCGTCGACTACGACAAAAAATTTCCTCCGTTTACGTGAACAATGGAGGACAGTAAAACAAGAAGACGATTTTCTTTATCTTGTTTTGAACTGACCTAAACTTGGATACAAAATTTGGAGTTTTCTCTCCAAAAAAAAAACACTCATGCATTTAGCAAGTTGAATGAGATGAAGTGACTGCACACGATGAACTTTAAAACGGCGCAAATTCATTTTTTAAGTGTCACGTTTTCGCTGCTATCGCCGTTTCCTGCCTTGCCTTAGCTTCCGCCATAAGTGAGGGTCGATGAACCCATCTCTCGAATTGAAGGAGTAGGGAACCTTGAAACGAAAGCATCTAAAGCAGTTGTTCATAAGACAACCCGTTCAGTGTAGAACATTCTTTGGAGAGAACAATTGGTGGTCTTACTTTTGAATCTATTTTCAAAATCCTGTTACCATTTGAAGAAGCCCGTTTTTTGTATAGTACTATTTATTTCTAAGGATTTGTGTTTAATACTTTACGATCGAAGAACCTTGTAACCGTTAAATGAGTTGTTTTGGTCACGCTTCACTATATATACCGGACTTCGATGCTTTCGTTTGGAGGTTTCCTTCAGGAACCCAAGCCAATTCTCAGGTATGTTTTAGATGAATGTCTAAATGTGTGAATATACGAGAACTGGAAAAATTTGGAGCCATACCACATGAAGAATAATGCCGCAGAAAACAACTACTAAATTAAGGTTCTTGTCACCGTAAAAACCTGTTCTTCGTTTTTGAATTATGTCAGTTCAACAAGTTTCGATATTGCTTTGAAAGTATCTTCCAATGAAAGAAGAAGAGTTGTTCTATTGATGGAAAGTGTCTAAATGTCTCCCTGCGGCTTTTTTTGCGAACGCTAGGAGAGTTGATTTTAGCAAATTTCGGGTTGAAAATACGGCCATTTTGAGACTCCGACCACGAAAACTGATATTCTTACTTTTCTCGAAAATAAAAGGCTTTTAGCGAGAACAACTTACATCAGATTATTTGTCTACCTAAAAGCTATTTATGAACAAACAATGAAGGAAATCGATTTTTCAACTCTTGCCACTCGATGGTCGATATTTCCTGACCGTCGCTCTTAAACATTATAAGAAGTATAAAACGATGAGAATGAATCACTCCCGCAGTCGAGAAAAAGTCTCAGTAGCAGCAGTTGCCAGCTAGTAGAAGATTCGTGACCTACTGCATTTGCAGCAGATCGACTTCCAGGTGTTATAGTGAGTGACGTCATAGTTTGTACGAAAAGTAGCCGAATAGCGTTGAAGTGCGTGAGATTTAAACCGATTAAGAGAAGTAAGAGTACGAGTGGATTCAGGTAACGTATTCCAGAGTTTAGCAATACGGTTAAAGTAACTAAATTGAAAGAGCTTTGTGCAGCACTTGGGAATTAGTACGTCTTGATCAGAGCTTTGGCGAGTGAGACGAGTGCCTTTAGGCTTGACGTAATCATCTATGCGTAGCGTGTAGTGGCCATGGCGACACTTGAAATAAAAAATTAAGTCTTTCACTTCATGCCAGTATGTTAACGGTAGGAGATTCAGGCGAGAAAAGCGCTCATGATAAGAAATATCCCTTTGCCAGTGCGTTTTAAGATGAATTTTTTTGCCCTGCATTGAAGACTCTATTTTTGTTACACTACATATCGTACTGGGAGCCCATGACTCGCTAGTATGGCCAACACATGATCTTACAAACGTGAGATATAGTAATTTCCTATGGTCTGTAGTGGACATAACACTATTGCGGCGCAAAAATGCCAGCATCCTATTGGCCTTAGCTAAGATGGTGTTAATGTGAGTATCCCATGTGAGGTCCGGCGAGATAGTCTCCCCGAGGTCTTTAACCTGAGTGACGTGTTCAAGTGAGTTGTTGTTGAACTTGTAATCTGAGCCAAATGGGTGGCGCTTACGTGTGACGGTTAGTTCCTCACATTTCGAGGTGTTAACTTTAGGTGCCAATTATCGCTCCAGCTATGCAGACTGTCCAGGTCCTTTTGGAGTGACCCACAATCTTGTAGACTCTTAATGATACTGGAACATTTTGAGTTATCAGCGGAGAGTGCGATACGATTCTGTATCACCGGCGGGAGATCGTTCACATAAACTAAAAACAGCAGGGGACCGAGGATAGTGCCCTGAGGCACTCCTGATGGAACTGGAGAACGACTTGAAGTGAAACCGTGGACCAAGCACTGCTGACCGCGTCCACCTAGATAGCACCAGGGATCAAGGCGATCAGGGAGCTACAGGACCCCCTGGACTACCGGGTCCACCTGGTGTCCCAGGAATACCGGCAACTAGTTCCTCCTTACATGCATGTCCAGCAATTTGTGATAAATTTTGTGTTGGTTTCAGTCCTAAATTAAACTACTGTAACAAAGTCTCAAATCCCTGTGAAAAAAGCGCTTATGAAAGACAAGGAGAACATTATGCCAAAAAGAGTTTAATTATCACCAAATAGCCCAAAGCTGGCTTTGGTACCACAGCAGGCGAAGACAAATTTGTGCAGGTAATCAACGCATTTCGAGTGCAATTTGGAATGAATAAGCACGAGTAAATTTTTTCAAAGGTTAACAAAATTGCACGAGCCCGTAGGGGTTGTGCAATTTGTGGTCTTTGAAAAAATTTACGAGTGCTTATTTATTCCAAATTGCACGAGAAAAATCATGTGATTGCTTATTAATAATATTCATGAAAAAATTGTGAGATAGCTTTAAAATCACTTTGATAGGGAGTCAACACGCGTAGACTACGTGCAAAAATGAATTATTCAGATGCTGCAAATATCATCACACGTGCAGTCAAAACAACATTTTGCTCGATGTTTTTAAAGTTTGCAAGCTACAGATTAAAGAATTAAAGATTGTGGGTTATTACCTCCGAGTTTTCCTCTCTTCCAGAGAGTTTCTTCTTCCTCCTCTGATACTTGCCGAGCTTTGATTGGGCGCTTACCATGGCCAGCCAAGCGAAGCTGTTTCGCGTTGTCCTCCAACACCTCTTTGGACGAACTAAATTCTCGGTCACGTACAATGGATGGGAGGCAGCCTTTGTTCTTTAAGTGTCTATCAAGCGATGCCATCATTACTTTAAGGCTTTCTGGTTCATAATCTTCACCTTTTTTATTGTTTACTTCGGCGTAGAAATGCTCGAGTGAAGTGTTAAGCTCAGCAGGCTCATAATTTTCTTTTTCATCAGTAACTTCTTTGTCTGCGCACCGATTCTTCCAAACTGAGAGCCAAAAACCAGTGCTTTTCGCAGTGTTTTCGTTTTTAGAGCAGTTTTTCAGCTCCTCTACAGTTGTCTCAGTCCCAAAAGCAAATGTGCTGCAAACGCCAACCATTGCAGTTTTTGCTCGAAATTAGTCCGGAGCGGATCCAAATTTTACGCCATTTAGATGGCGCATTTGATTGGCACTCTGTGAGTTCCTTTGTTTATTAGCCAATCACAGTGTCACGTTTGTTACTCTTTTCTGCACTAAATTACATTTTTAGTCTGCACTCAATTTCCTTTATTCTGCACCGTGTTACCTAAACTTCATTTCTCTTAGCCAATCACATTCGAGAAATGTTTTCATGTATATTATTAACAAGTAAAACCAAGTGTTCAGGGACACCCGATAGCCGCCACACAAATACATGGCCATCCCCAAGTCCAGATGAAAGAATTGACTGCAAGGAAAACTCAAAATAACTCGAAAAGGAATAAGATTAGGCACATTAAACACAAGAAATAAAAACAGAGTTCATGTAACATAAATATATTATAAACTACGGTAATATGTAGTGGTTTAGTCTTCTAGCTGAATTTATTTCTTCAATAAGTTTTTAATTAAGTCAAATCAATAAACCTGAATCCTTTTTTCACCAGTCACTATGTAGTTTGTTGACGAGACTATCCGGCAAACTTGATAAAGCATGATGGGACTTGTTTTATATGCTGATACTAAATTCCGGTGTATTAAGCTACCCTGGGGCTGGCCGTTTTACCTGTGAGGGGGAGCGGGTGCCCGCCATTTTGCTTCGTTAGCTACACAAATGGATCAACTTTCAGGATTGACATGAAAAATCGAGTCACATGTTTGGTTTTCCGCCACTCGATTATTCTCTCTGCCTCGTACAGCTTCCTTCTTTTGGATTTTCTGTTGGATCGACGTGAAATATTATGAATCTGTGCGTAATCTACGAGGAAAGCACGCTTTTTGGCCGCCATATTAAATTCTCTGTTGTTAAGAAGAAAGCCGCATGCCACAGCGCGGGCTCAAATGTCCGTGATTTCTGTCCATGGGATCATTAATATTTTTAAAATCTTGATTGATTTTGGGTGGTCCTTTTCAGATAAAGCAGCGTTACCTGGAGGGCCATTTTAATAAATTTCATGAAAGTAATACAAAGGCAGTAGCAAAATTGAAATTAAATTCAACAGCCGCGAATGGTATACGCAGATCTTAAAAACACTACTGCAGATAAACTACAGTCGAACCTCCTGTAAGCGACCACCCAAAATGCAAAGACTTAATGGAAACTTGCGGGAGCTGGTCGCTTACAAGAATCGAACCATAGGGGGCCTCATCCGAGAAGAGGTCCTGGCATATCTACCTTATGGAAGACAATTTATTGCGCCATGTGTAGTTCCATGTTGTCACTAAAATTCTTTGTACATTCCAAGCAACACAGTGCACACAGCGAGCAAAAAGACCAGAGAATGCGTCAAGTGGTCGCTTACAAGAGGTTAAGAAAATCATTAAGCTTTCAGGCCCAAAAGATGGTCGCGGTCGCTTACATTTTGGTGTTTTGGATTGGCGGTCGTTATGAGAGGTGGTCGCTTAATACGAGAGGTGGTCGCTCATGGAGGTTCGACTGTATGTGTTGAACTTCGACAAGATTTGTAGCTAGAATTTCGTAGTTTCCACAGCAATGGGGGTCATTTATACAAAGCTAGGATGAAATGTGGAGGTCGGTTTAAAATATTTTTAAGCTTTCGCAAATAGCCGGCTGCCCTCACAAGTAGTAAGCGACCAGTCCCCTCGAAACCTTGAAATTCTAATGTCTGGGTCGCAGGAAGCCTCTTTAATAATATGATTAACGGGTTTATCATATCATATGACATTAGATCGGTAGATGTGCTTGTAAATGAAAATTTAAAATGGAAAAACCTCGAAACCAGTCGCTCACTTGTCAAGGCTACCTAATGTACAAAATCTGCAATGATCAATCTAGTGTCCGGCCATCTAACAGCCCCTTACAAAACTCAATGATAGTAGCACCAAACGTAATCTTAGGAATCTTGATACTGATCTAGCACTTCCAAGGCCAAAAACGAATTTCCTCAAACGTAGTTTTAAGTATAGTGGTGCAATGCGCTGGAACAATCTTTCTCACGAGGCAAATCAGCACAATCGCTTTCCGAATTTAAACACTGTTAAAGGCAAACTTGCGTCTTTGCCTTCTGCTGGATCGCTCAGACTCCTTAATTTGTGTGTAAATATTTTAAAACCTATGTTTATTATTCTCCAAAACTCCCACCAACATATATTGTAAAACTAGCTGCATTTTGTAAATATTTACAAAATAAATTATCCTCTAAAAATTTGTCACATTTTGCATCCCCGTAGTGAACACCAAATTGCTTCTGTAATGCATGTTTGCCTACGTGCCGGCCTGGGAATCAGCTTTTGTTGTATGTGGTGAGCGGAGTGTCGTCAACGAAGCTTACTGTAAGTAAACCCCGTTTATAATGAGCATATCATTCATGCACATCCTTCAGTGGACATCAGTTTCACTTCACAGTCGCCATTTCCGACAAACTGAGACACGGATGACTGTTGCTTAATGATTAGCTCCAGAATGAAAGGGCTCGGATATTCCTCGTCACATAGTCCCAGAATTAGGTACTTCTTATAGGGAATGGACTGCCAAAATTCTGTTTTGCTGCTCAAGTATCACTTCACGGGATGTCGAAGCAAAAAAGAAGAGAGGAGAGAAAATAGTTTAATAACAACTGCTCTCTTTATTGCGATATAATTTACGGCTACACTGGTTACATGGTTGTCCTAAATTCTACTGGGCTGGCTTTCTTCGGGTTTAATTTTAGTTTTTTCCTGCCAGCATCACCACCACATGGAATCTTTCAACCTCGTCCTCAGGAGGTTGGGAGTCTTCGCCAGGCGTTTCCCATGAAGTTATGTACTGCTTAACGCAGTCAGTACCCGGGGGGGGGGGTACTTCCTTATAAGAGGCTGATCGGATGTGCCGCTGGATGCGGTCGCACATTTTCGGATTTTTAGGGGAATGACATTAGTTTTTCATAATTACGGTTAGCACACGTACCGGAATGTTTGCACTGTAGCAGAAAAGTAAAGCGTTCTTTATTCAATCTAAAACATGAGTCAATCCATAAAAACAGAAAGTGACTAATTAGTTGGGATCGCGAAAATTACATATTTGCCCAAAAGTGACTAAGATGGGGTCTGTATAATTGGCCACAGAATGAACTACTATAATGGGGTAGGGGCTCTGAGAGGCCAGCGGCACACACCCAGCAAAAATTAACCCAATTCCCCCCAGTATCGTACCCTTTGATTAATTGACTATTAGCTTTGGCAATCACTCGACACTGTTCGATGTTAACATGTCGTGTTGGCTGCATTGGTATAATTATGCATATCGGCTCCATGGAACTGCAAACAGACGGCCAGCGGTCAAGATCCTCTCATTTTTCACTTGCTTATTCATTACCGTGGCGGAGAATAAGTGACTAGTGTAATAAATATTAACGGTAGCACCATGTCTTTAAAAATCCAGTTCATTTCTTTCTATGGAATGCGATACAACTTTAACGTTACAAGTAAAAAATACTTTAAAAATAGGAAAATTACCTTAAATTGATAAAGAATTATGTCATACAATAAATAAAAACCCATTTTTTTCTGTCACATTAACTTATCATAAATTATTATAAGTGGAAAAGGAACAGTTTCGGTTTAATGGGGAGTTAACACGAGTTACATTCAAGGTTCCAGTACAGTCGCGAGTAAGACACATGAAACTTCCACCTTGTTTGTAGTAAAACACACGATAACGTGCTTTCTTACTCTTGATATCTTGTACTTCATAATTAAACCAAACTACTTTATTGACATTATCTTTACTGTGGCAGGAGACATTCTGAAAAAGCAAAAGATCGACGGTATATCTTCTATTTTTAACAATTCAATGATGAAGTTATTACTACTGACGATTATTATCAATTACGATAGACACATAAGTATCAGAAAGGGATTCTTAGGAATGCTCTTCCAGCAAGACTTTTTACCCACGAATCCGATTGAATGCCTCTTGGGTTTTAAATAGAGCACTTTTACATGACGATACGTCCGCCATATTAGTGTCCCAAATTAAAAAGCAATAGAAAGGCGGCATTGTTGGTTTTCCTAACCATTACCGTGGGAGTTGAAACTTTTCATGTAAAAACGTCCTTTTGTTCCAATAACTTTGCATAGGCGTAGGCCATATGAGTGAATAGGCTCTACAGAATTTAGAGTAGCATAACTAAAAATACAAATAGCATTCACCCGATAACCATTTACACAGTACCTCAAAGTATCCCATGCCACTACAGCCAATCCGAAAGCAAGAAATTCACTGCATCTATTGCGGTAGTGCAAAGGATAATACTTCCGAAAAAAGTCCCGGCGATTCTCGGGGCATTACATTTTCCCGCCGAGAACTCTCCTTAAAAGTACCTGTGAACAACTTTTGAGAGCCAACGACTTTAAACCGCGTTCTAACTTTTCTCAAATAACAGACTCATAGATCATTTTGTTTTGCCATGTGTGGTGTCATCGATTAGTTGTGAATCGTGAGAGAAATCAAAATGCTAATGATCTTATCACGTAAGCTGACGCACGTTCCTACGGCAGGGCTTTGCTATCGTTTTTGCTCTCGCCACATTTTGACGACGAAGTTGTGATAACTAACTAAAAAGACACTCACCGGCAAAATTGAACCTACTTATCAAATCTGTTGCGGTATAAGATAATCGGACAGTCTATTTTCGAAAAGGATTTTTCGGTTTCAAAACTGTAAGCCTGCAGAGGGAGTTTCTTTAGTGTTTTCACTCACCACGAAGCTGACTTTGTTTCCTTGTACCATAAGTGAATAAGTGTTGTTGAAAGTGATGCAACTCTTTTTTCCCCTTTTCACCAACCTAAAATCTGCAGAAACATAACATGCCTTTTAGAAAATCGCACATTTTATTTTTCTGTCAAGTGGTGACACATTTCTGATCAAACCAGAGAGAGAAAAGGGAATAATAGGAGACAAATTTTCAGTTAATCAAAATTAGGTAAAAAGAAGAATAACATTGCAAAATTAAATATTTCTAGGAGGAGTGAAAACGATTTTTCCGCGGGTGGGGAGCGGGGTGTATCGAAAATCACGTTGTATCGCCAATAACATATAGAAATTAGCCAAACCACATGGTCCCCGCAGTCGTGCGATTGCCTTTGGTAATAAAATACGGCTAAATTTTCGGCTTGTAGAAATTTTTTCCATCTTAAAACGATTTCGACATGGAAAGTGACTGACGGCAGTCGAATCGATATCACTTCTGATGAAACTCGCCAACTTGCCTGTTCTTGAATCCGTCTCTTTTCGGCAAGAATTGATCGTCCGTTAGTAATAAAATATGAATTTTTCTGCTTGTAAATTTTTTCCGTTATTAAATAATTTTGAGATGGAAAGTGACTGAGAGCAGTAGAACACATCAAGAAACCCGCCAACTTACGTGTGTTTCGATTGCTTCTCGTGTCGCCATTCGCCATCGCTGAGCATTCCCTTCGAGAGTTTTTATTTTCACACTTGGCCATGTTAATTCTCATATAACGGTCCTTATTATTAGTGCACCCAGAACCGTCGTCATCTATATAACTAAAACTCCGTGAGCGAGTGTATACTTCCACAGTAAACAAAAAGAGGAAAACAGTCTGGCGACAAAGAAAGCAGATAAGATAAGTTGAAACAAAAATCGAACAAAATTAGAAAATAGTTTACCCTCAAACTCAAAATACAGTCAAACCTCTATGTGTGACTACCCTTCGTAAGATCTCGTAAGCGACTGCCTCCCATAAGAAGCAACCACCTGCCTAGAAAACCTTTTTATCCCAGTCAATCCTCAATCAGTAAGAGCCTCTCGTAAGCGACTTTGACCACTTTTTGGTTAGATGTTTTTATTGTTTCCCATTGTATTTAACCTCCTGTAAGCCAAGTACTACGACGCTCAACGAAGAACTTATGGAGTGTCAAAACAAAATTACACGTATACGTAACTTACTGAATTGCAAGCAATAAATTCTACGACAAAAAGTGGTTCGATTCTGAGAACTTAAAAAGTGTCAAAACAAAATTACATGCATAAGTGCCTTAGAAATTGCAAGCAATAAATTCTACGGCAAAAAGTGATTCGATTATTGTAAGCGACGACCTCCGTTTCCGTAAAGGTTGATATCCACTGTCGCGTAATTTTACCCGCGTAAATGAAATAGAGGCAATGTGTGGACTTTCACGCGTGAGCGTGAAAGTTGAGCGAGGTTCAACTTTTACGCTTACTTTTGGCCTTTCATACATTGCCTCTATCTCATTTACGCACCTAAATTTTACATGCATGCGCACGGAAAAACTACGCGACAGGGGAAATCAACCCTAAGTGACCCGCCCTAAACCTTTGCATTTTCGGAGGTTCGACTGCATATAAAAAGAGAAATGCTTTTTTTTAAGTTGTAAGCTCTGAATAAAGCACTGCCTGCAGGCCCCGTCCGTAAAACTAATTTCACAAAACTCGGACCCCAGAATTATGAAATCCCAACTTAGAACTGAGGTAGCATGCGGCTAAATAAATTGGCCCTTTTTTGATATACTCACTGCAAAAAAACCTCTTAAATCCATTTTCTTCTGTTAACCACGACTTTCAGTTCTACTTCAAACTCTTTTGGATGACTACTCGATTAAGATAAAAGCTCGACACCAACAATTTTATTTTTATAGTCTAACCATGATGTTTTAGTACAATTGTATCATATTTGAAGAATTCAATGCCCCTAAGCTTGTAAAATTTTGAATTCTTGATTAACATACTAAGAAATTCTTTTGCAATTAACGCTGTTTAAACAAATAAAAAGTTTGAATGTTAATACAGTTTGAAGGTCCGAAATCAGCGGAAGTATCCTTTTGAGTGATGTAATGATCGCGAAGGTATTTAACTCTTCCTTAGCCACTTGGTATCCGCCTTAGCGGCAAAAATGAGTTTTATTTTATGCCATTAATCCGGCAAGAATTACCCGACCGGTCAAGTTTCAGGGATGCTTCTTTTACTACTTCCCTTTGAGAGCACTGTCGAGCAACATCTGTGGTCAAAGGTCTCTTTCCGCTTGTATTGCTTATCCACTTGTATGACTATCGAAGCGTGAGGCGTAAGAAATCATTTTTCTGGACCGATGTTCATCTATCGTGTAAACGGAGGGTTAAGTTGTCACAGTCTGACTGAATTCGAGATCATGGCTTTGATGATTTTATATTGAGAAAACCGTTTGTAATTCATTTCGATGGTATTTATGAAGAAAATTCTTAAATATCAGTTTTAACGACATGAAATATATTATTCATCGTGAATAATGTGTATAAAGGGTTTCTTTCTGATTGTTTGGCTCACGACCGTCACATAGATATTGATCGCGACGAACCGCAGTACACGGTCGAAACGTGGCGATCATTTTCTCTGTAACAATCGTTAGACAAAAGATTAACGAAACCCTGAACCCTTCATAATCAGTTACTCAAACTTAATTACTCCCTCACCCACATTTAGTATATATGAGGTAACATAATGTTGCCTTAGAGATCTCAAGCATAGGCCGAGTAAGAGGTAAAACAAACGAATGCCCTGAAATGCACTCATCACTAACAAATTCAGTTAACCGAACGTTGCCTAAGGAAGTTCAAAATCAGTAACTATCGAGATCTTGTCTCATTTGGAATTTAAAACCAAAACCCGCGAACTTGATCTTTCAGTGTTATTAATTGATCGTTACAATTACTCGGAATGCTTTCTTTGTAAAATCTTAATTATTTATTATTTTTATATTTTAGTTTATTTATCATATTTGTCCACATCAGCTGTATAAGCTGCCATTATTGACCTGCTAACCAAGTAAATCGATGTATGTATGTATGTAGTTATCATTATCATAGATACATTTAAATAAACGTAGAATTACCTAACCTGTGGTATATTGTCGTCCTTTTGCCTCAAAAGCGGCTTTTTGAGCTATTTTGAAGGATTTTTAGTTTGCCGTTTACTGTTCGGCTTATAATAGAAGGAACCGGTAAACGGCAAACTCAAAATCCTTCAAAATCGCTCAAAAAACCGCTTTCAGTCAAGCAAAAGGACGACAATACACCACAGGTTAGGTAATTCAACGTTTATTTAACATTGATTTATATACCTTGCAAAGGAGCGTATAATTTGACGATGCTAATTCTCTCAGTTGAAGGCCACTGAATTCTTCAGTATAAAATAAGACGAAGCATACCCTACAGAATCATTACTCACTACTCACTACAATTTTCTTTCACAAAAAAGGCGCCTGAAAAATTGATACAATTTCTGGCATTTTTTCAGGCTAGGTTTATTCGTACAACATAAAAGTTAACCGACTTTCTTTCCCTTAACAAACTAGCTGTAGTTTTGTTTTGCAAACGCAGGATGGTGAAACGCCCCGGGAACACATTTGTACGAACTAATTAACCTATCACTGGAAGTTCCTATAGCCATGAAATGTGCTAATAGCAGGATACGTATCCTTATTTAACCTGGCCGGTGGAATTTGTCGATTTATTTATTGCATTTCCTAAACCTGCATCAAATATAATCGATTTTTACCTGAAGCTATTGAAACTAATTTATCTTATCGTGCTTAGGTCATTGCATCACTGCCTATGACAGACCGGCAAAATTTGATTTAACTCAGTCCACCCTTCACTCAGTCTTCCAACGAAGGCGGACGCCTGTTGCAAGAGACACTTAGTAACGGTCTACCAACCACACACTAACACTGCATTATAATTTTATATGATATCCCAGCTCTTGATTTTTTCCAACAAACCTAACTGAAACTACTTCGGCTGAATTAAAAGACGTTCTTTTAATTTTCTCCTTGTAGAGTGAAGCGACAGACAGCCTGAAGCGACATAAAACATATTAATTGTGCAAATTGCAATGGTCCTTGTAAAAGTCGGTATTGGTTTATCATATATCTTCTAGCTGGCTCTCTGTAAAAGAAGGACCTCATCCGACTAATAACCGCTTTATCTATGCGAATTTCGCAATGTTTTGTTTTAAATCACCATCGTATTTAATTTGTTATTCAGTACTGAGAGTTGCAAAGTGCTGAATTTACGGGGGCTGTTGTCTCGGCATCGAGTTCCGGATGAAAATTAATGAAGTTAGGCGTACCGTCCCTAGCTTTAAGTTGCTTAAAGACTCCAAAGTTTATGATATACTTATCCGCAAATCGTCTATGGTTGTTTTGCGATTGTTATCAACTACAGTCATTGCAAAAGAACACTGTGTTTTCAATACAAAAAGGCGTCTATACCCAGTGCACTTCTCTACGTATGTGGACTTTTTGTGTACAAAAAAAGGGAAATCTTTGAACCGCATAGATTGGAAATTTTGAAGTTATGGTTACACACACAGATTGTGTGAGCTCCTTGTGGTGTGTGCCGCCTTGCTCTCCAAATCGTGACCCTATATATCCACTTCGAATTCGTATACTACTCTTCCTAAAGTATTCATTTTGGAACTGAAATAACAAATACGTTCATACACACTCCCGTAGTTCCATCGAAAACGATACCCGATTCCAGACCAAAATGGGAAAAATGTAGACCCGTTTTCAGACCTAAACGGCTTAAAAATATATATTTCGTTCGGGGCGGCACATACCTACATGTATATGGCTTATATAAGGGAGTTCCCCCCGGGATATTTACAGTAGAGGAACTTTACATCAGAATGCTTTCTAGCTCTTCAATGACTTATCATTCTGTATTCGTTTATTATGCGACACATATACTATATACAAGTACCTTTAAAGTTAAACTGTTGATTTTGTGATTAATATTTTAAGCAATTTAGCTTAAGTCTCTAATTTCCCCAATTAGTGATTCTATTATACTACTATAATGACTATAACACTTTAATAACTGAATTTCTAATTCTTAAGTTGAACGTTAAACAAACGCTGAATATGTGATCTTAGTCTTCCAACTTCCTAACCTCCGGTGGATTATTATAAAATCGAATCATATTACATTGCTTTTGGCAATCTAGCAGATCAAGGTCAGTTTTAGTTTCTTCTTCATCAGACAAACTTCTTGTGCGTTGGCGTGGCTTAGCACTGTTAGTATTGGGTATTTTAAAATTAAAAAGCAAATTAGCAAGAATTAGTTCAGCTTGAATTCGCCTGCGTAGCAAGCGTTTCCAATCGCGGAAGTTGAAACGACAGCTGCAATAGATATGGAGGATCTTTTTTGCTCGCTTGCTTCGCAGGCTAAAATTCAGCTGTTCAGCTAAATTGCTTGGCTATTGGTTTATACGGCCGTTTGTCATTCTGGCTTGCGTGGGTGAGTGAGTCCTCATAGAAATGTAAAACGCAGTACGTACGCGGATGATTCGTAATTCAGTGTACTTCAGTGCTTTGTAAAATTAAGGTTACGTAGATATGAAATTCTTTCGCAATGGCTAATAAATTTTAAAAAAATCACAAAGTTAAGGAAATGGATAATCATTTGAGAGCTCCCCGCTGGTCTTCGCTTATTTTATCATATTTTATCGGTATCTGACATTTCGAGTTGGCGTGGGGTCATGTCAAGGCTATCATTATGACCAGAAAAGATTCAGTCTAATCATGCGTTTGTAATTAAGAGTGGCTTTCCGTAAATATCGACCCACGGTCGGCACAAGTTCAAAATTTGATTTCGCTCATATTTGGCTCATCGATAACCCTTAATGAGTAATGAAACATGCTGTAGTTAGTTTTCCCAAATAACGCGTTCTTTTGTTAAAATTCCAGAAAACGCATTTTGCCCGTTCAGAGCTCAAAATCCACTTCCGGTAAAGCGAAATTTTGCACAAATTCCATTGACTCGTACGTAAAACCACAACGATTTGACAGCCTTTGAAAAACACGAATAGTTTTTATGACCCTTTCTTTCTTATAAGTCGATGAATTTGTGAAAGCTGTAATAATTTTGTGGCCAAAAAGGTTTGTTAAAAATAGGCCCTATTGACCATTTCTACCGTTCAAAATTATAGGGATAAAAAAATGCAAATTTTTACAATGCGCTATGACTTGAAATTCCGAAAATTGACTTTCTACTGCTTAACTAGGCCCCAATCTATCAGAAAATTGAAACAAATCTCTGGGCAAACGATTTTAAGTAGCCCGGAAGACGTTGAGTTCAACCCTAATTTTGCAAAACAAACGCGACATTGCAGTGGTTAAAAATAGCGTGACACGGCCCGTCACGCCAGTGTTGCCTATAGATATGCTTTAAACAATTTAGTTAAAGGCAGATTAAAAGCCAATTCGAAATTAAATCGTTCAGTAAACCTATGATTCTCATTGATTGCAGCATTTTCTTCAGATACAACATCTAGGGTCCCTGGGATAGCGTCACACACTTTCGTGTTCAGTTTCAGACTGGCGATTTCCTCCAAAAAATGGTATATAAACAGAACAAAATCTAAAAACTAAAACTGATTACTGAATGAATTTTTGCATTGAGAGATATTTACCAATTAAATCATCGCCAATCAATGCCATTTGGTTTATAAAAACTAATTTCCTTGAAGCAATTTTAAAGAATAAAAATATTTTGGACTAAGTATTGGTGCGGGCTCTCAAAACTGAAAAAAAAAGCTAGGTGGATGCCAAAGAGGAGCCTATATACTTGTATGACAACGTGTATGAATCATCAAAGCTACTGCATGACTATATACATGACCCATTAAAACAAACTAAGAGGACACTTTGGTGCTTTGCCAGGCTTACCATTAACTTAGTTTCGGGTTGCTTTCGACGTTTCAGTGGAAAATTCCTGAAACAAACGGAACGTCTTAAAAGGCGTTCGCCTATTTTCCTGGTCTTCCTGGTTGGAAACTTTCAGGCGGAAGTTCGGATTTCATGTCTTCAAACCTTTTTTTGAATATCAGTTTCAGGCTTTCGCGGCCGTTTTTCATTAAACGAAACTGACTTAGGCAAACGGTAAACGCGATTACCGAACGGAATCAAACTTAATCAGTCCTGAATTCTCCTCACCATTTGCCCAAACCGTGGAGCGACTGGTTTACCCATGTAAATAGTAGAAAATCCTTGTGTCCAAAAGCCTGCGATACAGCTTCCTCTCATCGCTATCTGCCGCTAGGAACATTTCGTCAAAGAGCGGTGAGAGGCGAGTGTATCCCAGAATATGCGTCATATATCTTAAGTAAGCTTAAGTACCTTGAGGGGCCTTGTTAAGTGCATAGTAGATCGTAGCAAGGGCAGAACGTTGCAGTATCTCTAATTACTTATTAAGAGACACAGAAAACTCGCTATTCCTCTACCCCAGAAAAATGTTGAGAAAAATAGTTTTTCTGGAGCAGTTCTTTGGAATAGCCTTCGATTCCTATATATTGACCAGCAGCAGGCGAAGTCTCTTGGGGTTAATTGAGGGCCGGCTGCAAACAATTCTTCTGGAGATCTACAAGGTACTTACGTAAAGCAGACTAAGGCTTTCAGCCTTATTCGGTTTGTGACAAAGACAAAGGTAAGGTTTTGGAGGCCCGCTTGGGCGTCTACGTTTCATGGACTAAGGCTACGGAGGATAAGGAAAGTTTCCTTTTTAGGTGTTCCCATTCGTTCGTTACAAGATTCTTCTTAGCTTTAGTATTATACTCTATTTTGTTTCCCTATTTTTATTGTTGTTGTTGTTGTTGTTGTTGTGTTTTTTTTTCGGAAAAAGGGGAGGCGGAGGGGGAGGGGGGCAGAGTGAGTGAGACTAGGGAGAGGATCGAAAAATACGTCTAAAAAATACGGTAGAAACTGACAAAGAAAAAATAAAAGAAAGAAAACAAGAAAGAAAGAAAAAAAAATTCGCAGTCTAAAAGCAGTTGAAAAGTTAGTACTACCAAATCCGTTCCTGCTGATCAATAACAAAGCGCCAAAAGTGCTCGACGCTCAAGTTGAATATTCTATTTATTCGAATAAGCGCCCAACCTCAAATTAGCGCCCACCTCGAATAAGTGCCCCTCCTAAAGGCAGAACAGTTAATAAGCGCCCAGCCTCGAATAAGCGCCCACCACCACCCCACTCCCTCCTACACAAACTTAAATAAGAGATAATAATAGACCCTCCCGAAGACGGAGTTTTCTTGAGAGCATTTTACAGAAACCTTCTTTTGTTACATGTCCGCTTTTTGTTATTACCATTTATTGTTTTGTTGCAAAATAAACATACTACACTTGCTGAGAATGGCGAAATTTAATAAGCGCCCAGCCTTCGAATAAGCACCCACCTCGAATAAGCTCAAGGTCCAAAAATTTAATAAGCGCCCAGGGCGGTTAATCGAATAAATACGTTATATACCATAAAAATTTGTAAATAAAGGACGTAGTTAACCTCTAACAGACCTTCAGATAGTTGAGAAAACGCAAAGAAAGGTGGGCTAGAAAAAATGGCGAAGGGGCGGGGTTAGGGATTGAGGGCGAAAGGTCCTCCTACTCTCTCCCTCTTACTCTTTTCCACGTTTGTTTTCCTCCGTTCCCCATTTCGCGCCACCGTCCTCTATCCACTATCCACTGTCCACTACGCCTGGAATAGGCTAGTTCATAGTGGGCCAGAGAGTTTTTTTTCCAATGGCGATGCAAGGGATCTATAGATGTCCATTTAGGAGCATTTGCCATTTTTAAAAGCTCATGATCACGCTGCAACTATTCCTGCTTTAGCATTAGTAAAACGCCACTTTTTTCTCTATTTTCCGTTTTGCTGTGGAGGAAAGTTTTTGGTGATTTGTTTTTGATGATGGCGTTTCATCGTCGATGGAAAGGAGTTAAAACGTTTTCTGAAACGTTCGTTACAATGTACCTTTATAAGCGTCATAGTAATACATCCAAACGTACATTTATACTTATACATAATTACTTGAAAGAGAAAACTCGCAAGAAAAAAACGTTGTTCGAATTGGTTAGTATTGGTTATCCCTGTCTTAAATTTAACGTATTTATGCCTTTTGACGGATGCTTAAATTATGAAACACACCACTGTACTTGTTCAAAGTTTGTTTTCGTTGGGCTCGGTCGTCGACGTCTTGCCGACGTTGCTCAAAAAAGCCGACTTTTGGGCAATTCTACACTATATATTGTATCCAAACAAAATGACTCTTCTAAATAAGATAAGGTTATTGAAAGATGTAATATAGATTGTATGCTGGAATTCGGCATGTGATCAGTGTTGAATAGAATGTTGAAAGTGAATCTGTCGTTAACACCGCTGGCGTGACGGGCCGTGTCACGCTATTTTTAACCACTGGAACGTCGCGATTTTCGCAAAATTAGGGTTGAACTGGGCGTCTTGCGGGCTACTTAAAATCGTTTGCCCAAAGATTTGTTTCAATTTTCTGATATATTTGGGCCTAGTTAAACCGTAGAAAGTCAATTTGCGAAATTCTAAGTTACAGCGCATTATAAAAATTTACATTATCTTAACCCTATAATTTTGAACCGTTGAAATTGTCAATAGGGCCAATTTTTAACAATACCTTTTTGGCCACAAACTTATTACAGCTTTCACAAATTTATCGTCTTATGAGAAAGAAAGGGTCATAAAAACTATTCGTGTTCTTCAAAGGCCGCCAAATCTTTGTAGTTTGATGTACGAGTCAATGAAATTTGTGTAAAATTTCGCTTTACCGGAAGTGGATTTTGAGCTCCGAACGGGCAAAATGAGTTTCCTCGAATTTTAACAAAAGAATACGTTATTTGGGAAAACTAACTACAGCATGTTTCATTACTCATTAAGGGTTATCGATGAGCCAAAAATTAGCGAAATTCGAATTTTCAACTTGTGCCACAAAAAGACGATTTTGGTCGATATTTACAGACAGTCGCTCTTAAGTATGGGTGAATCAAGAAAATTCTGAAAGGGGTGATCGGGACACTTGCCAGCTATATAGATACTTTTTATTGTACTGAGAATTCTTTAAAAACACCTCAGAAAAAAGGGGTTGCTGCTGTCTCCTCAGCCCGCCCCACCCCATAAATCTACCCATGTTAATGCGGAGTGACAATGAAACCACTAAACCAGACACGACGAGGAGCATTTTTAAAACAAACATCATTTGTTTGTAAAGAACAGTTTAACAATTGTAAAAAAGAAAGACCGTGACCCCCACTTTGTAAGAGCTACTAGGCCCTGATCCGTTTTCTCTTTCCAAAAAAAATGCTAGAAACTTGATAAACCAAAGTTCATGTTATATCTGAAATTGACTGTGATGCTATTGACGCTATTTGGGACTGATGGCATACGAGATTTTGGAAAGCCCACTTCGTTAGAATTATTTCCCTGTTAACCTCTGACGACAAAACAGACAAGTGAAAAAAAAAAATCATGAAGCTAACATAAAAAACATATTTATTTTGTGCCTTTAAAAGGATTGTTTTAAGGCTCATAATTCTTTATATTACCGTTTAAGTGAAACCAAGACAAAGATGTCTAATTGAAATTACGCAGACGAACCTTTTGGTTAATTGAAAAACTGAATAAAACTACATTGTTGACTCCCGATAATTCGAACCCTCGCGCCAACTCGAACCAAAATCGATTTCGCCTGGATTTCCTTCATATATTTACTGTAATTTTACCCTCGATAACCCGAACCATGTTTTACAGCGCGTGAAAAGCCGAGAAAAAAAAAGTGTACGGAAGTCCGAAACACTCGGAATTTATTTCATTACAACCAAGTCACTCCTAATATGTCCTTACTTTTATGTCACTTCAGCACAAACCTTAGTGTCCATCCGTGTATATTAATCAAGCGTTATTGCCTAATTCCTTTATTCAAAACATCAACCTATGTCTCTTACTACCCTCCCCGTCCATTTGCTTAATATTTTCTTATTTCCGGTTATTTGCTTCGAACTCCCGATAACTCGAACTTTTTTCGATTTTCCTAGAAGGTTCGAGTTATCGGAAGTCGACGTATCTGCATATATGAAACATGAAGCCTACCTGTGATACATACATATACATAGTTTTACATACATACATACGTTTATTCAAAGCATTTAAAAACAAAGATAAATACTTTCAAAGAAGGCCTTGAAAAGGGAGTTTAAGAGGTTGTCCCTATGGAAAAAACCCCCGAAAGGAAAATCTTAAAAATATTCTAATATTGAAAGTGTACATCCAAAACATCTCAGTTAATATCTTGATAGGCTTTTCCGGCGCAGAGAAGAGGCGGTTTCCGTTTTCAATTTCAGTTCCTGTAGAATTTTACCCATGACTAGAAATTTCAGTCTTGAGTCTCTAAGAAAGAGTGTGGGCGTCTAGGTAAGACTGTAGCCCATCAAGTGTTTTGAGGAGAAGATGGCGATGTTTTTTTTAATTTTCGATTCATGTTCCTATTAAGAGACTAGGGTGAAAAAACCGGAAGCACTGCGCGTGGGAAGAAAGATTTCCATGTAGGTCAAAACGAGAATGTTGCGCGTCCGAGTTCTTGCGCCCACTACTTCCAAGTGCCTGCTACGCAGGCTATCAAATGTCTAAGGGTAATTAAGAAAGGTAGTTTGAATTTTTCTAGCTTCCCATGATAACTAATAAAAATGATTGAAGAACGGGCATACAAATAAGTGGAAGGCCATGGTTAGGTAATGTTTGTTTTTCTCTTGTTTTAGGGTATGGTAACCACGACATAGATTCGTCTAGTGGTCTGTTAGTGAACAAAATTTCCTCTTTCTCAAATTTTATGTTAATGTATTTATAAAATCCGATTCAACCGGTTTAAAAGCAGTGAAATCAACTACAAGACTCAATTACACGAGAGTTCACAAGAAAATAGCCTGCGTGTCAGGCGTTTTAATTAAGGCAAATAAATTTGGTAAACATTGCAAATGATCGTGAGAAGACCGACTGAGAACAACTGATGCGGTGACCGAGAAACTCAATTATATTTCACGGTTCTTTCACAACCGTTTGGTGGGAGCATAGGGCTATTAATATTGGGAGAACATCGCTGAACTGTTACATGTAAGGTGATAACTGAGCACAAATCGTCTAGGTAATAATCTCAAGAGAACATAATGTGTGTGCTACGTTCTCTTGGTAATCATGAGATGTGAAAGCCCTTTTCCTCAGTGACAAGCGGTATCCAGTGGATTATAGGTCAGGTATCTCAAGGAAGCACCGTAAACAGTTTTCAGAACTGTTATGTGACACTATAACGTTATTCAACATGTTCAAGGACAACGCAGTTTACTGAAATCTTAGGAACTACATAGATCGAGGCCGTGCTGAGTTTGTGATCAAAGCTGATAACCTTGAAACAAGCGTGAAATTATCGTTTAATTGAAGATAAGATCAACTTTCGCCCTTTCTTTTGTGTCCTCACTGTCAAAAGTTTTCCTCTTGCATTGGTTCGCACAAGATTCTCACTGATTGGCTCAAACCAATGATTTAAACAGTTTGGAAGTTATTTTAATGATTTAAAAATCGTTGCCTGTATACAGTGGAGTCAGTAACATGACTTAGCTTTAGCTTTTCGGTTGAGATTTCGGTCTTTTTTTTTAACTTTTCCGTTTTCGTTTTCAACGTTTTGATTTTCACTTTCGGTTGAGATTTCGGTTTTTATTTTTTTTTACTTTAATTTCCTTTTTTTTTTGTTCCGTACTTTTTATTTTTACCCATCTATTTCGTTTTACTTTTCTGTTTTTTTTTTGCTTTTAAATTATATAATGAAAACCAAAACCAAAACGTATTTATAAACATTAAAAAACGAAAACCAAAAACAAAAACCAAAAGCAAAACCGACAGAGTAGACCATCATGCTTTGCTGGACGATCAATATGGCGGATGAAGGTGTCCATACTGCGGAGTGCGGCTTTGTTGACGATGTTAGCCCAGGTAAATTTTCTAATTTTACCTCCATTGATCGCTCTAAATCATAAACTGTATTTCTTTCCAACGTACCGTTTAATTCTTCTATTTAAGCTATGGAAATCGCGTCAGAAGAAATCATCAGAAGGTTAGGATTAGAGGTAAGTAAGGTAATGTGCTGTAAGCTACCGCCCATTTGTTAAGCTTTCATTTACACTAGATCGTAATCGCGTAGATTGGGAATATATTCTTTGAGCATAATGGAACGATCAAAGTGTGGGCAGTAAGTTTTTAACACGTGTCGGCTCTCAAAATCAGATAGATTTGGAGTCACGTTTAAAACTGACGGCAAACTTCAGATTCACCCAACGTCGGTCTTCTAAGATGTCTCTGTGTTCGAATAAGCAAAAATGGAATAGGAAATGAGCCGATAACAACCACTCAAAACAATTCTTATAGATAAAACCTGCGTGAAACTGCTAAGTTTTCGGAACAGTAAGCGACAAAAAGAAGGGAAATTTGGTCACGCGGTATATATATTCCCCCTTATATTCACAGTCTAGGCGATTACGATCTAGTGTAAATGAAAGCTTAACAAATGGGCGGTAGCTTACAGCACATTAGTACCTCCAATCCTAACCTTCTGATGATCTAGTCGATTAACGCGATTTCCATAGCTTAAATAGAAGAATTAAAAGGTACTTTGAAAAGAAACACAGTTTATGATTTAGAGCGATCCATGGAGGTAAAATTAGAAAATTTACCCGGGCTAACATCGTCAACAAAGCCGCACTCCGCCGGATGGACACCTTCACCCGCCATAATGATCGTCCAGCCAAGCATGGTGGTCTACTCTGTCGGTTTCGGTTTTGGTTTTGGTTTTTGCTTTTTTGTTTTTCGTTTTTTTTAATGTTTGTAATTAGATTTTGGTTTGGTTTTCATTATAGAGCGGTTTTCACTTGACTGTCGAAAGTAATTGAGGAATTGGTTTGGTTTTGGTTTTACTACGCCCTTTGGTTGGCTAGTGTATTTACTTTGGTTTTGGTTTTACGAAAGTCAAGTGAAAACCGCTCTATAATTTAAAAGCCAAAACAAAAACTGAAAAGTAAAACGAAATAGATCGGTAAAAATGAAAAAGTTAGAAAACAGAAATGGAAAAGTAAAATAATAAAAACCGAAATCTCAACCGAAAAGCAAAATGGAAAGTGAAAATCAAAACGTTAAAAACAGAAACGGAAAAGTAAAAAATAAAAACCGAATTCTTAACCGAAAAGCTAAATGGCGAAGTGAAAGTCAAAACGTTAAAAACAAAAACGGACAAGTAAAAAATAAGAACCGAATTCTCAACCGAAAAGCTAAATGGCGAAGTGAAAGTCAAAACGTTAAAAACGAAAACGGAAAGTAAAAAATAAGAACCGAATTCTCAACGGAAAAGCTAAATGGCGAAGTGAAAATCAAAAAGTGAAAAACAAAAATGGAAAAGTGAAAAATACAGGGTGTCCCAAAAGTTCGTTCCTCTAATTTAATGCACTATAACTTTTGATCAAAACTTTCTTTTTACATGAAATTTCTATACTAGAAGATGTTTATTTTTCTACTGAGTACATGTATTCAGAATTTCAGTAACCGGCATGCGCTTTTTGATTTTTTATCACATTCTGTAGCCGTTGCGGCATGAAGTGGGGATACAGTGTGTAGACCCACAAATGATCCATTTTGAACTTTTTTATCACCTGGTGCTCGGGAGCCAGTCCACCCCCAAACAATATTTGTTTATTTTAGGCAGCTAAAAAAATATATGTTGGGCATTCATTCATAAAAGACAATCATCCCGGTCTCCTTCCACAGCAAGGCTTTTGTACTTCTTTACAAATTTGAGACCAGCTGGGCGTTACTTGGCAGACTAAGTAGAGGTTTTCAGTTTTTTTTGCCATCTCAGGGGCCTCTAATTTAAAACAGTTTAAACAGCTTTTCATGACGCTTTCTGGACTTGGGTCTCTAACAATGTGACAGCTTCCTCGTTGGGTCTCCTACTTATATCTAACCTTCTTTAAAACTATTTTAGCTGCTTTATTCAGGACTTTTGGTCTTAAACTTCGTTTCTTGCCTTCAAAACCTTCATTTCTCCATGATTATTTTACCACCTAACATTTGGATTTTTCCAGTTTTTTAGCAGTTTGTACAACAGATAAGCTAGTAAATCGAAGTATACATGCTTATGCTCTCACCTAGCTGGTTTTTTTTTTTTTTGCGTTAAAGCGGTTTATCTTTCGTGATATTCACAAAATACAAGGAACGAGTTCGAGTAATTCGGGCTGTGAAAAACAAAAAAATATGTGGCTGGAAAATATACTAGCGCACGCGCACCTTTGGTGCCGAAGTACACAAATCGAATATTCGAGTCAAAAGATGGCACAACAAGTATGAAAATAGTGAATTAGATTGAAAGACACAACTTTTGCTTCAATGATTTACGTAACAAGTTCAATCGTACTGAAATAGAGTCTTATAAAGTAGCGGAATGAACTTTTGGGACACCCTGTAAAAACGAAATCACTATTTGGACCCTTGAGCTTCCGTAAAAACCACTTTCAAAAAATCACTCGTGCCCATAACCATGATATGCACTCGCGTTTATGTGATTTTCCATATTAAACTAACTTGTACATTTTCTTAAGTATGTACTAGCATTGAATTTTGCTTTAAAAGCGTACTTACCGCACTGAAAACACTTTGTAAGCCCATAGCAACGTCTTTTTGTTAAGGATTCTCTCAGATAGTAGGACTAGATGTACTAGTGAATGTTTTCAATGTTACACTGCACATTACATCTGAAGGACTGAATTTACTAGCTTAGCAAATTTTATATCTTCGTTTAATTTCCCCTTCTGTCATAATTATCCTTTTCCGGTGATACATAGTCTCAAGAGAGAGTGATCTAGCTCATGCATTACCTCTTGATAGCCTGCGTGGTAGGCGTTTGAAAGGGAAGGGGAAGGAAATTAGGACGCGAGACCACGTGCGAGACAATAGCAATAAATTAAACGCTCGAGATCGGAGAGTAATTCAGCGTTCGGCGGTTGTTCGACGTTCTGCAAAATCGATACCTCTGCTGCTTAGAAACTCGGGCGGACATTTCACTCGTTTCAAGAGTAATAACAAGGCGAAAGAATAGCTAAAAACATGGCAAGAACGGCAAGAGGTCAACTCGAAGGGCGATCTATTTAAAGAATATTTGCGGAGCTGAACAACCCTAAACGTGCACTGTACTATCGAAGATAAACTTAACATCGATGGATCGATAAAAGAGAACATGTTTTAGCCATGTTTTGAAACTAGGAATTATTTTAAATGAATAATAAAACAATTTTTGAATTAAGCTTTCGTATCACATGTAGAATTTAGAATGTAGAACTCACAGAATTTATGAGGATAATCCTGGCTTAGTTTGACTGGAAATCACGTCAGAGTCCTTCGAGCATTAATCAATGAAACAAGTAATTTAAAACTGTTGAGTAAGTAAGTAAGAGACTTTGTTTTATGAGGGTGACATGTAACAGTAACTGAACATTACTGATCAACTTGTGGCCCTCAAAAGAGTTCTCATTTGGCGGTTTAAATCAGAGAGTTTTTAAACGAAGCCGAAAGAGAACCAGTTGAAACTGGAACTGATAATATAGATGCCGAAAAGATTTTTTCCAAGTAGAAGAAACGGTATATTTTTCTTTCAACTTCGTTTCCTCAACTGTGATTCTAAAAAGACCTTTCAGATCACATTCCATAGGGGTATTACCCTTTTTCTCTCCTTCCTCCATGCTTGCCTCTTAATCATTATTTTGAGTGAGACAGTGAGAACATTTTGAAATCCAAAGTATTTTACTTAGAATCCGGAAAATGTTTGTTCGTGGAATGCAGAATCCGGGGGAAACTTTTTGCTTGTGGAATCCGGAGTACAGCTCAAGGAATACAGAATCCTGTTAAAGATTGAAATCCAGAATCCATGTTCCAATGAAAAAGACCGGAATCAGGAATACACGACGTGCAATCTAGAATCCAAGACAGTCTTGGATTCGCTTATATGGGGCGAAATAGAGGCCTACATGTACGTGCAGTTTCGGTATTCGGGAAAAAATCAGATGCGGTTTGCGGTTTTTTGGCGTATTTCTGTGCGGTTTTGCGGTTTTCGGACCCCCCTTACGCCCCCCTCTTTAAGTGTCACGTCCTCGCTGCTGTCGCCGTTTCCTGGTTGTCTTAGCTCCCGCCATAAGTGAGGCTCTGTGAACGCCCCTATGGAAATGAGGTGAGGAGTAGGGAACTTTGAAACGAAAGCACTTGAAGCAGTTATTTATAAGATAACCCGTTCACTCTAGAACATTTTTTGGAGAGAACAATTGGTGGTCTTACTTTTGAATTTACTTTCAAAATCCTTCAAAGAAGCCCATTTTTGTACAGTACAATTTTTCGCCCTGCCGGGCTACTGACAGTGTCTCACCTCACATGAAAATAGAGCTGGCCTCTTGGACCGGGGGTAGGGGGCTTTTTTTTTTGGCCGAGACGGGTCTGTGCCGCAGAACAAGGTGGGTGTCTTTTTTTGACAGGAAAGAGTTAAGTTTGTCAGGTTGGCTATACAAATGTTAAAAATTTCCCTTATCGAAATGCAAAACGAAACGAGTCAGGGTCATAAAATAGGGTCTTAAACGGAATGCGGATTTGATGGCCTCAGTGGTGTACCTTTACCCAAACGTTCCTTGATTGCCTCAACACTAGCTTGCGTCGCAGACACTCTAAACCGCTTGTATGTACCAATGGTCTGTAACCCCCCACCCCTCTCCCTTCAAAATTAGTTTTTAAATCATCCGGGGGCCTATCTTGCGTAAGGAAACGACACGTGGGCGTTCAAGTCATCGGGGTCGATTGAATGCCAAATCTGCCATCAAGTCGTCGTACTCATCACTAACGCACTGTAACGTCTTGGTAGTTTCGGGATCTGGTCCAGGTTGACTTTGGCCGCCATGTTTGCTTGCTTCAGCTTCGTGTGATCTTAAAGACGCTTGAAGTCGGGTGAATTCGTTGCGCAAAATTTGAAGTTCTTTCATCATTGAATCATTCTGATGTTGAAGTGCTTTAACTTTTGAGTTGTTTGCTTTTCCAGAGATAATTAGAAGCAAATTTCAACCAAAACTCTACTCGCTCAAAGCGCACGTCCACTAGCTCAGAGCGCAAGTGAGAACCAGACTACTGACCACCGAAATTTGCATTAAATTCATCAGTCCAGCTCCTCATATACAGCTTAAAGAAAAGAAGGTTGCTTCGGTGATTTTGGTCATTGGTAATTGGGCATTTGGCATTTGGAGATATGGAACTCCCCTGGAATGATTTTCTTGAGTGACTATCAAACAATAGCGTCCTAGTGAGCAATTCCGAATGCCCAAGGCAGCCTTCATTGAATCAGCTATATAATAATTTTCCAACCCTTGGATAAAGTTTATTTATGTAAATGGTCACATAATGTTATTTTCCAAAATATGTTATATTTGAGGAATGCTCAACTGCTGTGACATGAAAATATAAATATGGGTAAACATTGGCTATTTGTTCAGGGGCACCCAACGAGAATGTAGTTCAAAACCACTTATAAAACATAGCATAGTCTTCATATGTCTTCCTACGAAATGAAATGTCTTCATATGACAGCTTTTGTTAAATTGGACAGCTTTGTTAAATTGACCGGATACAGTTACATGTTCAAGTTTCTAGTGGCAAACCGCTCACTTCACGGTTTAAAAATAGTAAGCAAATTTCAGACAAGGTAAATTTCCTTCCGCCCATCATAGTGTTTACCATTTGCACAAACCAGTTCCATCTAAGGGAAAACGGCTGCGAAAGCCTGAAACCAGCATGGTATGAAATACGACTTTTTCAATAGAACACGAATTACCGTCCGGAAAAACAGCATTACTTTTCCAGATATTCCTTTGCTCCTGGGAATGACCCAAAAAGTCGTTTTCAATTTACTTTCCGACCGGATTTTCCGGAAACGTTTTGGTAGAATGCAGATTTGAATCGTCTAACGACTAACTTCCTCGATTTCTAAATAATCGGTTGTCTGAAACAGTGTTTCAGACTTCTGATTATTTAGAAATCGAGGCAGTTTCATAGTCTTTAGCCGATTCAAACCTGCATTCTGCACAACCTCGTCCCAGGGCCCTGGGGAAGAGACGAATTACTTTTCAGACTTTAAAATAATCGGTCACGAGCCTGCTCCTGAATCAGTCCTTTCATAGAATTTATGAGGATAATCCTGGCTTAGCATGACTGCAAATTACGCCAGAGTCCTTCGAGCATTGAATAATCAATGAAACGAGTAATTTAAAACTGTTTAAAAAGAGCTCTCATTTCGCGGTCTAAATCAGAGAGTCTTTAAACGAAACCGAAAAAAAACCGAAACTGGAACTGGTAATATAGATGCCGAAAAGACTTTTTCCAAACAGAAGAAACGGTATATTTTTCTTTCAACTTCGTTTCCTCAACTGTGATTCTAAAAAGACCTTTCAAATCACATTCCATAGGGGTATTACCCTTTTTCACTCCTTCCTCCTTGGTTGCTTCTTAATCATTATTTTGAGTGAGACAGAGCATTTTGAAATCGAAAGTGTTCTAGTTAATGAGGCCCTAAGTCTTACCTATAGAGTCCCACCATGTAAAAGAATCCGGAAAATTGTTGTTCATGGAATGCAGAATCCCGGGGAAAATTTTTGCTTGTGGAATCCAGAATACAGCTCAGGAAATTCAGAATCCTGTAAAAGATTGAAATCCAGAATCCATGTTCTACTGAAAAGGACTGGAATCAGGAATCCACGACGTGTAATCTAGAATCCAAGACTGTCTTGGATTCGCTTACATGGGACGAAATGGAGGCCTTAGTATCGCGAACAATCGTCAAGTTGTTAGTGGAACAAAGCCGATTCTCGACTAGGCTAATCTATATTGATCATCGACAGTTGGTGTCGAGGACTTGAATCACTAACGGCAAGATGCATGGTGTTACGGTTACTCTGACCCAGAGGGACTTAAGGGTGACAAGAGCACTTTTCCTATAAGACTTCCATATTATGGAACGACCGTGTCGATGCGGGCAATAAGGTTTTTTAAACGCTCTACCTGTTTGTTTCATTTTTCGATAAATCTCCTAGCCGTCAATGCGTCGACTACGACGAAAATTTTCTCAGTTTACGTGAACAATGGAGGACGGTACGTAAAACAAGAGGACGATTAATTATCTTGTTTTGAACTGACCTAAACTTGGATACAAAACTAGGAGTTTTCCCTCCAAAACATATTCAACCATGCATTCAGCAAGTTGAATGAGATGAAATGACTGTACACGATGAACTTTAAAACGGCGCAAATTCATTTTTTAAGTGTCACGTTTTCGCTGCTATCACCGTTTCCTGCCTTGCCTTAGCTCCCGCCATAGGTGAGGCTCGGTGAACGCCTCTCTGGAATTGAAGGAGTAGGGAACCTTGAAATGAAAGCATTTAAAGCAGTTATTCATAAGATAAACCGTTCACTTTAGAACATTCTTTGGAGAGAACAATTGGTGGTCTTACTTTTGAATCTACTTTCAAAATCCTATACGGACTGTGTTACCATTTGAAGAAGCCCGTACTAGTACTAGTAGTACTATTTATTTCTAACGATTTGTGTCAGTTAATACTTTACGATCGAAGAACCTTGCAGCCGTTAAATAGGTTGTTTTGGTCACGCTTCACTATAAATACCGAACTTCGATGCTTTCGTTTGGAGGCTGCCTTCAGAAACCCAAGCCAATTCTCAGGTAGGTTTTAGATCAATGTCTAAATGTGTGAATAATGCCGCAGAAAATAACTACTAAAATAAGGTTCTTGTCACCGTAAAAACTTGTTCTTCGTTTTTGAATTATGTCACTTCAACAAGTTTCGATATTGCTTTGAAAGTATCTTCCAATGAAAGAAGAAGAGTTTTTCTATTGATGGAAAGTGTCCAAATTTCTCCATGTGGCTTTTTTTGCGAAAGCGAGGAGAGTTGATCTTAGCAAATATCACGTTGAAAATAAGGCCATTTTGAGAATCATTGCGGTTTTTGCTCGAAATTGGTCCGGAGCGGATCCAAATTTTGCGCCATTTAGATGACGCATTTGATTGGCCCTCTGTGAGTTCCTTTGTTTATTAGCCAATCAGAGTGTCACGTTTGTTACTCTTTACTGCACTAAATTACATTTTTTCTGCACCCAATTACATTTATTCTGCACTGTGTTACCTAAACTGCATTTCTCTTAGCCAATCACAATCGAGAAATTTTTTCATGTATATTATTCACAAGTAAAACCAAGTGTTCAGGGACACTTGATAGCTGTCACACAAATACATGGCCATCCCCAAGTCCAGATGAAAGAAATTACTCCGCGGAAAACTCAAAATAAGGCGAAAAGGAATAAGATTAGTTACATTAAGCACAAGACATTAAAATACAGTTTATGTAACGTAAATATATTATAAAGGTAATATATGTAATATATGGAAGTCAAATCAATAAACCCTAATCCTTTTTTTACCAATGACGCAGTTTGTTGACGAGATGTATCTGGCAAACTTGATAAGGCGTAATGGGACTTGCTTTATAGGCTGATACTTAATTCTGGTCTATAAACCTACTCTGGGGCTGGCCGTTTTTTACCTGTGAGGGGAAGTGGGGGCCGCCATTTTGTCTCATTAGCTTCACAAATGGATCAACTTTCAGGATTGACACGAAAAATCGACTCACGTGTTCGGTTTTCCGCCGCTCGATTATTCTCTCTGCCTCGTACATCTTCCCTCTTTTGGATTTTCTGCTGGACGTGAAATATCATGAAGCTGTGCGTAATCTACTAGGAAAGCACGCTTTTTTCCCACCATATTGGATTCTCTGTTGTTAAGAAGAAAGCCGCATACCACAGCGCGGGCTCAAATGCGCGTGATTTCTGGCCATGGGATCTTTGATCTTGATTTTGGGTGGTCCTTTTCAGATAAGGGAGCGTTAACTGGGGGGCATTTTAATAAATTTCATGAAAGTAATACAAAAGCGGTTGCAAAATTGAAATTAAATTCAACAGCCGCGAATGGTATAAGCCAATCTTAGAAACACTACTGCGGTACAGTCAAACCTCCCGTAAGCGACCACCTAAAATTCTAAGACTTAGTCTTCGCTTACGGGAGGTGGTCCTTTACAAGAATTGAACCACAGGAGGCCTCATCCGAGAAGAGGCCCGGGCACATCTACTTTATAGAAGATAATTTATTGCATGCAATTTCTAAGTCGCGCCATGTGTACTTCCATGTTGTCACTAAAGTCCTTCGTATATTCAAAGTAGCACCACACAGCGAGCAAAAAGATCAGAGAATGCGTCAAGTGGTCGCTTACAAGAAGTTAAAAAAAAAAAAAAACTAGAAAATCATTAGGTCCAAAATTAAAGGTGTTCGCGGTCGCTTACATTTTGGTGTTTTGGATTTGCCGGGTCGTGTATGGGAGGTGGTCGCTTACGAGAGGTGGTCGCTCATGAAGGTTCGACTGTATTTGGTGAACTTCGGCAAGATTTTTTTGTAGCTAAAATATTCGTAGTTTCCACACCAATGGGGGTCATTTATACAATTAAAGCTATGTTAAAATGGGGAGGTCGGTTTGAAATGTTTTTAAGCTTTTTTCAAATAGCCGGCACCCCTCATAAGTAGTAAGTGACCAGTCCCCTCGAAACCTTACAGTTCTAATGTATAGCTCGCAGGTAGCCTCTTAAAAAATGTGATTAACGGGTTTATCATATCACATGACATTAGATCGGTAAATGTGCTTGTAAATGATAATTTGAAATGGAAAACCTCGAAACCAGTCGCTCACTTGTGAAGGCTACCCTGATGTACAAAATCCTCAAGATCAATCTGTCTCCATCTAACAGCCTCTTAAAAAACCCAACGATAGTAGCACCAACCATAATCTTAGGAATCTTGAAACTGATCTAGCACTTCCAAGGCCAAAAACGAATTTCCTCAAATGTAATTTTAAGTATAGTGGTCCGATGCGCTGAAACAATCTTTCTTACCAGGCAAATCAGAACAATCGCTTTCCGAATTTAAAGGCAAAATTGCCTCTTTGCCTACTGCTGGATCGCTCAGATTCCTTTATTTATGTGTAATTTTTTTAAAATCTATGTTAATTATTCTCCAAAACTCCCACCAACTTATATTGTAAAACTAGCTGCATTGAGTAAATATTTACAAAATAAATTATGTTCTAAAAATGTGTCACATTTTGCATCCCTATAGTGAACACTTGCTTCTGTAATGGGTGTTTGCGTACGCGCCGGCCTGGAAATCAGCTATTGTTGTGTGTGGCGAGCGGAGTTAAATAGCTTTGTTGTTGTTGTTGTTGTCAACGAAGCTTACCGTAAGTAAGCCCCGTTTACAATGAACATATCATTTATGCACATCCTTCAGTGGACTTCAGTTTCTCTTCACTGTTACAATTTCGGACAAACTGAGGCACTGATGACTGTTGCTTAGTGATTAGCTCCAAAACACAAGGGCTCAGAAATTCGTCGTCACATAGTCCCAGAATTAGGTACTTCTAATAGGGAATGGACCGCCAAAATTCTCTTTCACTGCTCAAGTATCACTTAGGGACGTCAAGAAAAAGGAAAGCAAAAAAGAAGAGAGGAGAGAAAATAGTTTAATAACAACTGCGCTCTTATTTGCAATATACCGCAGCTGAAAATTGCAACGCGCCAGGCCTGGCATTCTGTGGGTTTAATTTTAGTGTTTTTCCTGCCAGCGTCACCACCTTTTTCACATGGAATCTTCCAAGGCGTTTCCCATGAAGTTATGTACTACTTAACGCTGTCAGTACCCCCGGGAGTTAGTATCGTGCCCTTTGATTAACTGACTATTAGCTTTGGTAATCACACGATACTGTTCGATGTTAGCACGTCGTGTTCGCTGCATTGGTATAATTATATATCGACTCCATGGAACTGCAAACAGACTGCTAGCGGTCAAGGTGATATCATTTTTAATTTGCTTATTCATTACCGTGGCGGAGAATAATTGTATTATTGAATTAACTGGTAATGTACACTGCCAGTGTTAGAGACTAGTGTAAGAAATATTAACGGTAGCACCATAGCTTTAAACATCCAATTCCTTCCTTTCTATAGAATGCGATACAATTTTAATGTTACAGTAAAAAAGGCTTTAAAAATAAAGAAAATTGCGTTAAATTGATAAAGAATTATGCCATACGTTAAATAACACCTCATTCTGTTCTGTCACATTAACTTATCATCAATTAGTAGTAGTAGAAAAGAAACATTTTCGGTCATTTGTTGAATTAACACTAGTTAAATACAATTTTCCACTACAGCGGCGAGTAAGACACATGAAAGTTTCACCTTGTTTGTGGTAGAACGCACGATATCTTTTAAAGTCACTTGTGAGGTTATAAATTTCATAATTAAACCAAACGTTACGGACTTTATCTTGACAGGAAACATTCTGAAAAAGGAAAAGATCGACTGTATCATCTATATGTAACCATTCAATGGTGAAATTATTACTACTGACTATTATTATTTAAGTATCAGAAAGGGATTGTTAGGAATGCTCTTCCAGCAATACTTTTTACCCACGAATCCGATTGCATGTCTCTTGGGTTTTAAATAGAGCATTTTTATGTGACGACACGTTCGCCATATTGGTGTCGCAAAAGCAATAGAAAGTCGACATTGTTGATTTCCCTAACCATTACCGTGGGAATTGAAACTTTTTCCTATGTAAAAACGTCCATTGTTTCATTAACTTTGCATATCTGCAGTCCATATGAGTGAAAGGGCTCCACAGAATTTAGAGTAACATAACTAAAAATATAAATAGCATTCTAGTCATCTGATAACCATTTATACCTCAAATTATCCCATGTCACTACAGCCAATCCGATAGCAAGAAATTCGCTGCATCTATTGCGGTAGTGCAACGGGTAACATTATCGAAAAAAATCCCCGCGATTCTCGATTTTCCCGCTGAAAACTCCTGTGTACAACTTTTGATAACCAACGATTTTCTCAAATCATGTGTGGTGTCTTCAGTTGTGAATCATGGGGAAATCAAAATGCTTGATCTCATAGTAATCTGACGCACGTGCCTACGGCAGGGCTTTGTCACTTTTTTGTTCTCGCCACATTTTAACCTCAAAGTTGTGATATCTAACTAAAAAGACACTCACCGGCAAATTTGAACCTATTCATTAAATCTATTGCGCTATAGGATAATCGGAAAGTCTACTATTAAAAAAAGATGTTTTCATAATTGTACTCCTGCAGAGAAAACTTCTTAAACTGGAGTTTTCACTCACCTCGAAGCTGGTTGAGTTCCCTTTAAAGGCAAGTGAATAGGTTTTGTTGAACGAGATGCACCACTTTTCATCTTTTTCCGATTTTTCCAGCGTAAAATCTGCTAAAATATGATACCAAAGTACAAGCTTTATGACATAGCAACAGAGTGCCTTTTAGAATAGCTCACACTTTAATTTTTTGGTGAGTGGTGACACATTCCTGATCAAACCAGAGAGAGCCAAATGGGAAAATAAAGCACTAATTTTCAATTATTCAACCTCAGGGAAAAAAAGAATAACACTGCAAAATGTAATATTTCTAGAGAGAGTGAAAAAGACTTTACCGAGTGTGGGTGGGTGTCGGATATCATGTTGTATCGCCAATAGCATAGAAATTCGGCTAGACCACAGGATCCCCGCAGTGGCGCGATAGTCTTCAGTAATAAAATATGGAATTTTATGCTTATAATTTTTTCCTTTTTAATATAATTTTGAGATGGAAAGTGACTGAGAGCAGTAGAACGACATCAAGAAACCCGCCAACTTACTTGTGCTGGAATTCTTGCTCGTTTCGCCATCCGCAAATGCTGGACATTCGTTTCGCGAATTATTATTTTCACGACATTCCTTCAGGTTTATTCTCACATAACGCCCATCATAATTGCATCTTCTGTCATTGCTCCTTGCACCCTCGTAAATAAGTCTGAGAGAGTACACTTCCTCAGCAAACAAAACGACGAAAACAGTCTAGGAACAAAGAAAAGAGATATGATAAGCTGAAACAAAAAAAAAATCAGTCAAAATTCGAAAATAGCATAGTTACCCTTAAACTCAAAATACAGTCAAACCTTCCATAAGAAGCGACCACCTGCCCAGAAAACCTTTTTTTCCAGTCAATGCTCAATAATTAGAACCTCTTGTAAACGACCACCTCTCATAAGATGCGATCACCCACCGACAGAACGTTTATTCCCAGTCAATGCTCAATGATTAGAACCTCTCGTGAGCCACCACCTCCCATAAGAAGCGACCATCTACCCAGAAAACTTCTTTTCCCAGTCAGTACTCAATGATTAGAACCTCTCGTGAACGATCACCTCTCATACGCGACTTCGGTCATGTTTTGTGCTTATAGTATCATAGTTTTCCATTTTTTTCCAATTGACGGACTGATAATGCCGTCTAGTTGCTCGCTGTATGTACTATGCCACTCAGACTATAAGAAGAACTTTGAAAGTCAAAACAAAACTACACGTATACATAACTTAGAAATTGCAAGAAATAAATTCTACGGCAAAAAATAGATATGTCAGGACCTCTAGGAAGAGACCCTCTGTAGTTCGATTCTTCTAAGCGACAACCCTCCGTAACTGACCCTCCCTAAACCTATGCATTTCGGGACTTTGGGCTGTATATAAAAGGATAAAAAGATCTGGATAAATTGTTCCAGGCAAACAACAGTTTTTTAAACCGTGATCAAGCACAGCCTGCAGGCATCCGTCAAGAAAACTCTTTTCATGAAACTCGGTCCCCAGATTTACAAAAGTCAAATCCAAACTTAGAACTTAAAAGTAGCAGCAGGCTAAAAAAACTCGAGACTTCAAGTTCTGGTATACTCACTGCAAAAAAAACTTTCAACTTCATTTTCTTCTGTTGACAATGACTTTCACTTCAACTTCGAACTCTTTTGGCGATGGCAGCTCGATTAAGATAAAAGTTCGACACAAATTTTATAGCTTAACCATGATGTTTTAGTACAATTGTTTAATGACGGAAGAATTCAATGTAGTTCCTAAGCTTGTAAAATTTGAATTCTTGATTAACATGTTAATAAATTCTTTTGCAATTAACGTTGCCGAAACAAATAAAAAGTTTGAACAGTAAAACAGTTTAAAGGCCCAAAATCAGCGGAAGTATCCTTTTATTAGAGTGATTCAATGATCGCGAAGGTATTTAACTCTTCCTTAGCCACTTGGCATCCACCTTAGGGGCAAAAATGAGCTTGATTTTATCTCATTAATCCGGCAAGAATTACTCGACCGGTCCAGTTTCAGGGATGCTTCTTTTGTAAACTTCCCGTTGAGAGCGCTGTCGAGAAAAATCTGTGGTCAAAGGTCTCTTTCCGCTAGTATTACTTATCCACTTGTATGACTGTCGAAGCGTGAGGCGTAAGAAATCATTTTTCTGGACCGATGATCATCTATCGTGTAAACGGAGGGTTAAGTCGTCGCAGATACGTAGTCTGACTGAATTCGCGATCATGGCTTTGACGATTTTATATTAAGAAAACCGTTGGTAATTCATTTCAATGGTATTTTTGAAGAATATTCTTAAATATCAGTTTTGACGACATGAAATATATTATTCTTTGTGAATAATGTGTATAAAGGGTTTCGTTCTGATTGTTTGTCGCACGACCGTCGCATAGATATTGATTGATCGCGACGAACTGCAGTACACGGTCGAAACGTCGCGATCATTATCTGTGTAACAACCGTGAGACAAACGATTAACGAAACCCTGAACCCTTTATATATCAGTTACTCAAAATTAATTACTCCCTCACCCACATCTATAGTATACATGAAGTAATATAATGTTGCCTTAGAGACCTCAAGCATAGGCCGAGTAAGAGGTAAAACAAACGAAAGAAATCCAAACGAATCTGAAATGAACTCATCACTAGCAAACTCAGTTAACCGAATGTTTCCTAAGCCCGAAATCATGGAAATCTTTTCTCATCTGGAATTTAAAACCAAAACCCGCGAACCTGATCTTTCAGTGTTATTAATTGATCGTTACAGTTACTCGGAATGCTTTCTTTGTAAAATCTTAATTATTTATTATTTTATATTTTAGTTTATTTATCATATTTGTCCACATCAGCTGTATAAGCTGCCACTTTTAACCTGCTAACCAAATAAACCATGTATGTATGTAGTTATTCATTATCATAGATACATTTACCCCCCCGCGGGGGGTATTCCTTGGAATGCTTGGTGGGTGTGCATAGAAGGCCCACAAAATCTGTGTGTGTAATCGATTGTCATTTTATAGTAAATGTGTTGGATTTACCATTTGCTTGACCTATAGCGATATAAATCAGTGTTAAATTAGCTAACCTGTAGTATATTGTCGTCCTTTTGCCTCAAAAGCGGTTTTTTGAGCGAATTTGAAGGATTTTTAGCTTGCCGTTTACTGTTCGGCTTATAATAGAAGGGACCGGTGAACGCAAACTCAAAATCCTTCAAATCGCTCAAAAAGGCGCTTTTCAGGCAAAACGACGACAATATACCACAGGTTAGGTAATTCAACGTTTATTTAACATTGAGTTATATACATTATCTCTATAGATCAAGGAAATAGTAAATCCATTATGCATTTACTATAAAATAACAATCGGTCACACACACAGATTGTGTGAGCTCCCTTTGGTGTGTGCCGCCTTGTTCTCCAAATCGTGACCCTATCCACTTCGAATTTGTATCTTACTCTTCCTTCCTCAGTATTCATTTTGGAACTGAAATAACAAGTACGTTCATACACTCCCGTAGTTCCATCGAAAACGATACCTGATTCCAGACCAAAATGGACAAAATGTAGACCCGTTTTCAGACCAAAAAAAAAAAAATATATATATATATATCCTTCGGGGCGGCACATACCTATATGGTTTATATAAGGGAGCTCCCCCCGGGACATTTACAGTATAGGAACTTTAGATCAGAATGCTTTCTAGCTTCAATGGCTTATCATTCTGTATTCGTTTTATGCTACACATATATTATATACAAGTACCTTTGAATTTTGTGATTAACATTTTAAGTAATTTAGCTTAAGACTCTAATTACCCCAATTAGTGATTCTATTATACTACTATAATGACTATAATTTCTTATTCTTAAGTTGAACGTTAAACAAACGTTGAGTACGTGATGTTAGTCTTCCAACTTCCTAAACTCCAGTGGATTATCATAAAATCGAATCATGTTACATTGCTTTTGGCGATCTAGCAGATAAAGGTTAATTTTAGTTTCTTCTTTCGGCAGACAGACTTCTTGTGCGTTGGCGTGGCTTGGCACTGTTTACTTTAGTGATGGGTATTTTAAAAGCAAATTAGCAAAAATTAGTTCAGCTTGAATTCGCCTGCGTAGCAAGTGTTTCCAATAGCTAAAGTTGAAACGACAGCTACAATAGATATGGAGGATCTTTTTTGCTCGCGCGCTTCGCAGGCTAAAATTCAGCTGTTCAGCTTATTAATTGCTTGGCTATGGGCTTATGAAACGGCCGTTTGTCATTCGATCTGGCTCGTGTGGATGAGTGAGTCCTCATAGAAATGTAAAACGCAGTACGTACGCGGACGATGCGTAATTCAGTGTACTTCAGTGCTTTGTAAAATTAAGGTTACGTAGATATGAAATTCTTTCGCAATGGCTAATAAATTTAAAAAAATCACAAAGTTAGGGAAACGGACAATCATTTGAGAGCTTCCCGCTGGTCTTCGCTTATTTTATCGTATTTTATCGGTATCTGACATTTCGCGTTGGCGTGGGGTCACGGCTGTCATTTAGTTTCAACAACAAACTCGGAACCTTTATAACCAGAAAATACTCAGTCTAATCATGCGTTTGTAATTAAGTATGGGTAAATCAAGAAAATTCAGAAAGGGGTGATCGGGACACTTGCCAGCTATATAGATACTTTTAATTCTACTGAGAATTCTTTAGAAATCTCTCAGAAAAAAGGGGTGGCTGCCGTCCCCTCAGCCCGCCCGACCCCATAAATCCACCCATGTTAATGCGGAGCGGACAATTAAACAGTAATCACTAAACCGGACGCGACGAGGAGCATTTTTAAAACAAACATCATTTGTTTGTAAGGAACAGTTTAAAAACAAAGATAAATATTTTCAAAGAATGCTTTGAAAAGGGAGTTTAAGAGGTTGACCTTATGTAATAAACTCCCAAAAGAAAATTCTTAAAAATATTCTAATATTAAAAACGTAATGTTAAAAATTTACATCCAAACCATGTGATTAATATCTTGATAGGATTTTCAGGCGCAGAGAAGAGGTGGTTTTCTTTTTCAATTTCAGTTCCTATAGAATTTTACCCAGACGTACTAGAAATTTTAGTTTTGAGTCTCTAAGAGGACTGTGGCCGTCTATGAAAGACTGTAGCCCATCAAGTGTTTTAAAAAGAATTACGATGGCGATGGTTTTCGATTCATATTCCTGTTAAGAGACTAGGGTGACAAAACCGGAAACACTGGACCTGAAGAAAGATTCCCATGCGGCAGTAAAATTTATACATGTAGGTAAAAACGAGCATGTTGCGCATTGATAAAATTTAAGCAATTAGTAATGAATCATTTTCATTGTTGAATAAACAAATTGTATCGTCAAACGTCTAAGGATTAAGATAGTTTATGTTCCCTTGAATTCTTCTAGCTTCCCATGATGACTAATAAAACTGATCGAAGAACGGGCATAAGAGGGAAGCTCATGGTTAGATAATTTGTTTTTCTTTTGTTTTGGGTATGGTAACCACGACATAGATTCGTCTATGGTCTGTTAGTGAATAAAAGTTCCTCTTTCTCAGATTTTATACTAATGTATTTACAAAACCCGCTTCAAGCGGTTTAAAAGCAGTAAAACCAAATACAAGACTCAATTACACGAAAGTTCACAAGAAAATAATGGCCATTTTGGTCAATAATTAAGGCAAAGAAATTCGGTAAACATGGCAAATGAGAAGACTGACTGAGAACAACTGATGCGGTGACCGAGAAACTCAATTTCACGGTTCTTTCACAACCGTGTGGTGGGAGTATAGGACTATTAATATTGGTAGAACATCGCTGAACTGTTACATGTAAGGTGATTACTAAGCAGAAGTCGTCTAAGTAATAATCTCAAGAGAACATAATGTGTGTGCCATGTGGTAATTTTGAGATGTGAAAGCCTTTTCCTCTGACAAGCAGTATCCAGGGGAATTGGTCAGGTATCGCAAGCAAGCACCATAAACAGTTTTCACAACTGTTAATTAAAAGTCACAATATAATTAACGTTATTCAACATGTTCAAGGACAACGCAGTTTACTGAAATCTTAGGAACTACATAGATCGAGGGCCGTTCTGAGTTTGTGATCAAAGCTGATAACCTTAAAACAAGCGTGAAATCATTATCGTTTAATTGAAGATAAGATCAACTTTCGCCCTTCTTTTTTTTGCGTCATCACTGTCAAAAGTTTTCCACTTGCATTTGTTCGCACAAGATTCTCACTGATTGGATCAAACCAATGATTTAAACAGTTTGGAAGTCATTTTCATGATTTAAAAATTGTTGTGTGTATGCAGTGGAGTCAGTAACATGACTTCAATTCAAGAAAATAAAAATGTTGAGAAGATATCCATGGTAAAACCAGTCTCAAAACATTACTCTTGCCCATAACCATGATATGTACTCGCGTTTATGTGGGATTTTCTATCCATATTAAACAAACTTGTACATTTTCTTAAGTATGTACTAGCATTGATTTTTGCTTTAAAAGCGTACTTACCGCACTGAAAACATTTTGTAAGCCCATAGCAACGTCTTTTTGTTAAGGATTCTCTCAGATAGTAGGACTAGATGTACTAGTGAATGTTTTCAATGTCACACTGCACATTACATCTGAAGGACTGAATTTATTAGCTTAGCAAATTTTATAAGCAAAATTCAGAAAAGGTACATTTCCTCCGGAATAGCGTTTACCATTTGCACAAACCAGTTCCATTTTAGGGAAAACGGCTGCGAAAGCCTGAAACTGGCATGGTATCAAATACGACTTTTTCAATAGAACACGAATTTCCGTCCGGAAAAACAGCATTACCTTAATTAATTAACACAGTCACCAGGAGTACTGATTAAAACTTCTGTCATCTTAGTTTTCCTTTTGCACCCTGTATAATGTTTTTTTTTTTTTTTTTTAACTTTTTATGAAAGCCTTTATATGTCTTCCTATGAAATGAAATGTCTTCTTATGACAGCTTTGTTAATTTGATCGAATACAGTTAGATCTTCAAGTTTCTAGTGGGCAAACCGGTCAGTTCACGGTTTAAAAAGTTCACAAAACGTAAATTTCCTTCCGGCCATGATAGCGTTTACCATTTGCACAAACCAGTTCCATTTAAGGGAAAACGG